AAAATCTCATTAAATCCGATGGTCTCCCAAGTGGCGCCAAAACACCACGCCGCACTTGCAAAGCGATGGGCGGAGCGTCGGTGGGGGGAGGCGGGAATCAAAGTACGCAAACACCGAGTCTCACTTTTTTTATTCCGACAATATGAGTAGGAGGAATCGAGTTGAAGGTACTGCTGAGTTGTAGACGAGTGGTTGTAGATGGTTGTGTGGAAGTCTGAAATTTGTTCGATGATGATTCGGTTATTGAAAATCGTTTCAAACAGTAGGATATGAATTTACCTGGTGATAGTGCGGTTAGTTTTGATGAGGGTGTGGTTATGTGAGGAGTTTGTCCAGATTGGACTACTGAAATTTTATCAATTTATAAAAAAATTTGTTCTGACAAATAACAAAATAGACGAGAAAACAATGTCTGCAACGACACTTCAAAATTCCACATGGTGCATTTTTCGAGAAGTTTCGAAAAAGCGAGAATTTTTTCAATCAAAAAGACACATCACACTGTTCATGGGGTACTGTAAATATTCGATTTGGATGGCCTTTAAACTTTTAACCCGTGTATCTCATTTCCTGTTAAAGATATCAAAAAGTGATCAACTGATAAAATGTTTTTGATATTATAATAAACATTTTATCAGTTGGCCACTTTTTGATATCTCTTATAGTAAACTAGATAGATTGAGAACAAAGTTTAAAGTTATGAGACCCTTCTAATACAGGTTTTACGGAATACACATTTGTGTTCAGCAGTGATTTTTGAATTTTAGAATTTATTTCAGACCTTGGGAAGTTGAGCTACAGTATTCCAGATTTTATTTTCATTGTACAAAATTATTCAAAAATCCCATAAGAAATACAAAAGTTCAATTATTTTGTTTCCTTGGAATGAATCGTTGAGCTCCACCGGAAGTTCCACGATTCACAAATGGTGGCTGAGTGGCTGGTTGGATTTTCTCATGCGTCCGTTTGACGGATTCGGTTGGGTAGGCACGGTCCATCTGCAAAAAATAACTTTTCTGGATTTTCGATCTTTTGAATTTTTGTATTTTAATATTTTTTTGAAATTATCTAATTAACGATAAATTTAGTTTTACAAAACTTTCGAACTTGAATTATTTTTAGGAAAAAATTATAATTTTTTAAATTCAAACATTCGAATTTCCCAAAAAAAAAACATCACATTTTCAGAACTTTTGAATTTTTGAATTTTTGGAATTTTTGAAATTTTTGAATTTCTAAACTTCCGAATTTTTGAATTTTTGAATTTCTGAATTTTTGAAATTTTGAATTCTTGAAATTTTTGGAATTTTTGAATTTCTAAATTTCCGAATTTTTGAATTCTTGAATTTCTGAAATTCTAATTTTTGAATTTTTGATTTTTTGAATTTCTGAATTTCTGAATTTCGGAACTTCTGAATTTCTGAATTTCTGAGTTTCTGAATTTCTGAGTTTCTGAATTTCTGAATTTTTGATTTTCTGAATTTTTGATTTTTTTGAATTTTTGGAATTTTTGATTTTTTGAATTTCTGAGTTTCTGAATTTCAAACTTTATCACCTTCGCTAACAATCCAGAATCCAAAACTTCTCTCAGCGCATCTTGTAAATTCTCATGTCGGTGATTATGATTTCCAGAATTTTGTACACGTCGTCCGCCAATTATATTGGCTGGTTGATGAGCTAATTTTGAAATTTCAGAACCATTTTTAGCAGTTGAATTCATTTTTTTCTGGAAAAACTTTTGAAAATTTTTAAAATCAAAAAGGGAAATTCAGAACGTTTTAAAAAGTATTAAAAAATTGAAAATTTGAACGTTTTTTTTTTGAAAATTTTGTAAAATGAAAAATGAAAAAAAAATAGACGGAAATCTAGAAAAAAAAAGAAATTTGAATAAACTTGACTAAAAATAGGAATTCCCTCTTTTCTTTTATACTTTTTTCATTTCGTCACAAAACACAAATGGGCGGAGCCTGTAAAAGAGAGAGAGACGCAGAGTATTAGACTTTGTGTGTAAATACTGGCGAAGTATTGCACAACGTTGTGGAGGAAGGAAATGGGATCAAATTTGCTTTTCGTTAGTTTGATTTAATATTTTTTGTTCTAAAGAAATCTTGAAAAGTGTCAAAAATAGTTCAAAAAGCCTAGAAAACTAGAAAAAGGCTAGAAAAATGAGAAAAAAACGACTTTAAAAATAGTTCAAACACCTAAAAAAGGCCCAGAAAGACCAACAAAAAAGCAAAAAGGAAAAATCAATAAAAAAAAATCAACAAAGGAATGTTAGAAAAAAAAGAAGGAAAAATTGGAATTTCTTAGATTCAATGATCATTTTGATGTCTCGTTTGGTGAATTGGTTTCGAAGGAAAACATTTGATCTGCATCTCATCGATTTGAATTTTTTCCTCCTCGGATCTGAAACATCACAAAAATGGTGGCCTAACTTTTGCAAATCGGGTTTTCTAAGCCTCTAATCTTACATTGTTTGGACGAGTCTAGTATACGGTACATTTCGATGCACGAATTTGAAATGGTCTCGACCAGAGCCTGGTTGGGAGAGGAGTTTGTTGCATACGGTACATTTCCACCTAAAAAGTGTAGCCTAAAGCACCGGAAGTGCGCCAAGGCACCAAAAATACGTCAAGGCAACAGAAATGCGCCTTTTTGAAGCTTAGAAACATTTTTTTGTGTCTTGGCGCACTTTCGGTGCCTTGACGCATTCTTGGTGTCCTAAAATCCAAATCCTTACGTTTTGAGTTTCAAATGACTGAGCGCATGTTGCGTACGTTGAAAACCATTTGTGCAAACCATTTTTCTCTTACACACTTCACACTTGAGCTTATCCATGTCCCATGTCGCCATCAAAGCACGGAAATCTTCGCCGGGCGACCAACCATTGTAATCTACATGTTGCTCATTATTAATCTGAGCAATCGGTGACACTTTGGATTCTTCTTTTGGGATTCTGAGCTCATTATCAGCAAGATTATCACTGATTTCACTTTGATTGAATGTGATTTTTTGAAAATCTAGTTTTGATTCTTTTCGAATTTTTTTCGCTGTCGGAAAATCGATAATTTCCGAAGCTCGAGATGATGTTGGGACTGCTAGAACTGGAATTTTCGAATTTTACAATTTCCGAACTACAAATCACCCTTATTTGGTTCACTGCATCTGACTGAAAATTCCATACGATTTTCCTCCAAAAATGCCATTAATTTGTTGAAAGCATCACCGGATGGCGGTTTGGCGACGACGAACATGTTATTCATTTTTGAATTCTAAAAAATTGAATTTTTTTTTTGCAAATTTTAGGCCGGAAATTAAAAAAAACGCTGAAAAATCCCAAAAATCGCTGAAAAGTCGACATTTTTGCAAGCAAAAACAAATGTCGGGGGTACTGTAGAAACTTCAAGGCGCATGCAGTAATTGTTCAAAAAATTTTTCAATTTTTCGAAAAATGCGTTTTTTTTTCGTTAAAAATAGGTATTTTTCCCATTTTTTCATAAATTCCAATGTTTTCAATGACTTCTCACAAGGGAAGTGTTTTCAGAGAGGCGTTGAGAATTTGCTCAAAATTTCAGTACTGATAGTTTGAGATATCCCCAACACGATGACGAAAAAATCTAGGTCATAACCCCACCAGGAAGCTGAAAATCTTCGTCTGAAAATTCTGCCCGATTTGGGCGCGCACTTTCCCCCCTCTCCTATACGCCCTCCGCGCCAGAGGAAAATGTCGGTTGTGTGGTGTAGCGGTAAGAGGGTAACTCATTAGGTGAGACTCCGCTGGTTCGAACCCCACTGTGGTTAACATTTTTTTTTGTTTTTTTTTCATGTTTTTCAACTCGCAGAAAGTTCTGGAAGCAGCAGAAAATTGCTATAAAAGGCGATTTTTTTTTCATTTGTTCCTGTTTTTTTATTTTTTTTCTTCGTACTCATAGCTATTATTTGTCTGGCTTATTTGATTGACCTCGGTGAACCGATCGATAAGGGAGACTTTGATATTGAAATGGAACAGCACCTTTCAAATTTTGAAGACGATCTACAGACTCCGCTGGTTCGAACCCCACTGTGGTTAACATTTTTTTGTTTTTTTTTTCATACTTCTATTTTCAATATTTCGAAGATATAGAGGGGGTTTTCAATATGCATCCTAACTTCTTTCTCGAGCTCCATCGAAATGAACTCCAAATTGCTTTTCCTATTTGCTTTGGTGGAGCCTTAAAATATCTATTTCAGAAAAAAAAAACAACAAGAAGTTTTTACCAAGAGTCTCGTACTCCCGAAGTTTGTCCATATGGTGGCGGTTTCTGATGAATCGAAATTTAGTGTGAACTTGTTCCAAACTTGGACGGACTTTTGATCCATTATTGTTCAATCCCGTTTTTGATCCAAAATAAGCGACCGCTTCTTTGGCTTTGTCTAACTCCACTAACTCTCCGTGCGCAAATTGGATCATATTTGGTTTTCCAGGAAGATGAACAACATCGGGATACATTTGGATTTTGTGGCATTCATCTGGAGTCCAACCTAACCGTAACATATGTATATGTAATGATTCACTGAACTGAAACTTACTCAAATCCTGTAGATCGTCTTCAAAATTTAAAAGGTGCTGTTCCATTTCAATATCAAGTGTCCCTTATCGATCGATTCACCGAGGTCAATCAAATAAGCCGCGAGCTTGAGATCCTTTTCATCCAATGGCTGACGCTTAGGATTGACTCCCAGATCCAGAATGTATATCAAAATGCGACGAAACTTCGACATCAGCAAGACAAATAATAGCTATGAATACGAAGAAAAAAATAGAAAAACAGGAACAAATGAAAAAAAATCGCCTTTTATAGCAATTTTCTGTTGCTTCCAGAACTTTCTGCGAGTTGAAATACAAATCCATGCTCTACTGATAACTTCTGATTGTTAGAAAAACATGAAAAAAAAACAAAAAAAAAATGTTAACCACAGTGGGGTTCGAACCAGCGGAGTCTCACCTAATGAGTAACCCTCTTACCGCTACACCACACAACCGACATTTTCCTCTGGCGCGGAGGGCGTATAGGAGAGGGGGGAAAGTGCGCGCCCAAATCGGGCAGAATTTTCAGACGAAGATTTTCAGCTTCCTGGTGGGGTTATGACCTAGATTTTTTCGTCATCGTGTTGGGGATATCTCAAACTATCAGTACTGAAATTTTGAGCAAATTCTCAACGCCTCTCTGAAAACACTTCCCTTGTCAGTTTTTTTGCATAAAAAAGTCAATATTTCAGGGGGGGGGGGTACTGTAGAAACTTCAAGGCGCATGTTGTTTTTTCAAGAAAGTTTCTCAATTTTTTGGAAAAATACATTTTTTGAATTGTTTTCCTCAATTTTTTTCCGATTTTTCAAACGTTTCAAATTTCAAACTTGTTTTTCAACGAATTATAACAGGAATTTCGAGAAAAATCTAATCTTTTTAGAAAAAAAATCCAAGTTTACTGTTGAAATTTGAAGGCGCAAAACGTTTTTTTTCGATTTTTCAAAAATTCGAAATTTCGATTATTGAAAAATTCGTCACGGCGGTGAAATCAGGCACATGGATTTGAATTTAGATTTCACGTTTTCTTTAGACGCAACTTAGGAACAACACTTAGGAACAGAACAACACGCAAGCGGTTGCGTCGCGGTCGCCGCTCAAATCTGAAGAAATTTCAAAAAAAGATAATTAAAATCATTTATTATGAGATGCAATACATTTAATTTACAAGTAAAGCATTTAAAGAAAACCGCATATCAAATAATTTTACGTAAAAATTCCGAATAAAATGTATACATTTAGTGATCATTTTGGTGTCTCGTTTGGTGAATTGGTTTCGAAGGAAAACATTTGATCTGCATCTCATCAATTTGAATTTTTTCCTCCTCGGACCTGAAAAATCCCTAAAATGGTGGCCTAACTTTTGCAAATTGGGTTTTCTAGGCCACTAAGCTTACATTGTTTCGACGAGTCTGATATACGGTACATCTCGATGCATGGATCTGAAATGGTCTCGACCAGCATCTGGATGTGAAAGGGATCTGTTGCATACGATGCATTTCCACCTGAAAATTGAAAGATGAGTCACGGAAAATGCGTCAAGGCTCGATAATCGCGTCAACGCACTAAAAATGCGCCAGGGCACGAAAAAAAGCGTCAAGGCATTAGAAATGCGTCAAGGCACCAGGAATGCGTTTTCACCTTGACGCATTTTCTGTGCCTTGACGCATCTTTTGCGCCTTGACGCATTTTTTGTGCCTTGACGCATTTCCGGTGTCGAAAAACCAAATCCTTACGTTTTGAGTTTCAAATGATGGATCGCATGTTGCTTGCGACTAGGTCCTGTCGTTTTAATGATTCCTTTGCCACATAGTTGACAGATAAGTGGCTTTTTGCCCGATATCGACGTCCCAGGATCATAATCTCCGGATTGCATATTTGTTACATGAGCAATCGGTGCCCCTGGGAAAATTTGTGGTTTTTCGGACTCCATAATTTCCGGCTCAGGTTCTAATTTCACTTTTTTCGCTGTTGGAAAATCGCTATTTCCCGAAGAATCGTAATTTTCAGCTGTCGCTGTATTATTTTTAATCTGAGCAATCGGTTCGGACTGTGGGATTCTGAGCTTATTATCAACAAGATTATCACTAATTCTCTCATTTGATGTGATTTTTGGAATTTCAAAATTTGATTTTTTTTGAACATTTTTCGCTGTAGAAAAATCGATATTTTCCGAAGCCTGAGATGATGTTGGGGTTTCTGATACTGGAATTTTCGAATTTTACAATTTCCGAACTACAAATTACCCTTAATTGGTTCACTGCGCCTGACTGAAAATTCCAGACGATTTTCCACCAAAAATGTCATCAATTTGTTCAAAGCATCTCCTGATGGTGGTTTGACAACAATAAGCATATCAGACATTTCTGAAAATGGCAATGCTGAAAAGAATTGGAGCGAAAACTCCGAAAAAATATGTGGAAAATCGATATTCCAGCACGCAAAAATTGACGTGGTAGGCTACTGTAGAAATTTGAAGGCGCATGCAGAAATTAATCAACGAAATTATTGATTTTTGGAGAAATGCGTTTTTTCGAATCATTTTTCGCTCAAAAATGCTTACTTTCAGCTGATTTCTTGAAGAAAAATTTTTTGAAGAAAGAATTTTTAATTGTAGAAAAAGAGAGAAATAGGAGAGACGCAGAGAAGACAGA